TGTGTAATTTCTGTTTCTACACAATGCTCTGCACCTCTGTTTTCTCTATGAAAGTCTGCAAAAAACTTACTTTATTTGTTGAATTTTGGTTCCAGCTGGAGGGTATCTACAAAAGCTCATTCCAGAAAGCTTCACAGTAGCAGTTAGGGTTAATTACTGACTTCTCAAGTAAACTGACAAAATGTTAATGAATTTCAGATGGTCCTAAATATGTTGTAGTTCAAAAAGACATCCTAATAACATCTGTTTCTTTGAAGTCCTGCCTTCATTTTCTTCCCTAACTCTCCTTTATAGGAGAGGAATCTTTGTTCTATTTATTGAAAAATGTTTTTTAGGTTTTAATTTCAAGAGATTTGGAAATTTTCCAAGAGAGACTGATGGACTTTGATGAAAGATTTTTGTTCAAAGTTTGCTACTTGAAGCATTTTAGCTTTCCAACTAGTTACAGTAATAATTCTAAAATATATAACACACATACACCACTGATTCAGGAAGAAGCAGAAATATAAAAGCATGGGCAAGGTTGCTAATGTCTGATGTTTGACATTCTAGTCACTCTGAAGAACAATCAGAAAGAGAGGATGCTTTGAAAAGCACCAGAACATCAGGCTAGAAGAGACCTTCTGGATTATCAGCTGAAGATACTGCTGTCTCAGGAAGTCATATCAAGCTCTTTATGAATTTATTAAACTGTATTAATTGAATTCATAGTTAAAGTAGAAAAATACAAGAAAAAAATCATCAAAAACTTAAATCATTGGATACTTGTGAAAAGCAGACCTTGTCTGGCTCTGAGATCAATTGCTTGTAACAGGCCCTGTAATCCTCCATGTGATTTATCCTCTGATAGACCCCTTTATACACTATGTGTGGTTTTGCGTCACTATTAACAGATGGAATAGTATTTATACTTCATGTGACTCTTTCTGTGTTAACTTATCTAAAGTGCTAAAATCATGAGACCAGCTCCCTGGTTCATGAAATTCACCTATTTTATGTACGTGTGAGCTTCTCTGTTGCTGGGCAGGCATGTGAGAACACATAGATCTGTTGTACACACAGCACCTCTGCTTTTGCACACAGCTGGCGGGTGAGCTCTCAGAAGAGCTTGTCACCAGTGATCCTCGTAAGCTCTGTGGGCATGATTTTTAGGGTGACCAGTCTCAAGTAGACCTAAGCCTGCTCCCAGTCCTCAATGATGAAGGCCACTGAAAATCTCACTCACATTTACTACCCCTACTTTGGTTACAGTCATCTCCAAAGACAGATAGTATGAATGTTAGCAGGCTTTTTTTTAGCCTGAAAGTGAGATGTCTCAGGAAGGCAGGTATTAGTAATGGTAGAAATTAAATATTCATCTTCAATAAACACCTAAATCAGGACTGTCTGTGTAACTGATCACTAGATAGGATAGTGAATTTGGATGCCACTATCCTGTCCACGAGAGTCCTGTGAAGTAGTAAGCAGTAGGGTGGTCTGTATCTGCCAGTCTAGAATGAGCAGGAAACAGGAGAGTTTGTGCAAAGTGGTGGTTCACCGACACTTGAGCAGATGCAGTGGCTGGCTGCATCTCCCTGTGTCTCTTGCCCATCAGGCCTTCCTGGGAGATAATCTAACTCATTAAAACAGCACAAAACCACCCAGATATTTTTTTTTCTGGATTTATTTCCTGTCATTGTAATAAATTAAACTGGCTCCCAGAGAGGGCTGAAGTATGCCAAAGCCAGCACCAGATGTGCAGAAGGAACACATGGTGGGGATTGGGACTGAAAGCCGGGAAAGATGTGGAAAAAACAGAATAGTAACTCACTGTTTTGGGCAGTTTCAAGCTACTAAATTTCTTCACCATGTTTTATGTCCTAAAATCAGAACGTAACTCTAAAGAACAGTAATTGTTTGTTTGCCCAGTGATGACCTTTGTGTACACACAGGCTGAAATGTCTATGCTCTAGACAAGTCTGATTTATTACCTGTGTACTACTAAAGGTCTCTGAATTTTGAATTATAATATCATGAGCTCTTCTCTTCCAACTCAGTTCATTCAAACCAGAACTCTCACAGCATTGGTTTTTTTTGGCGTAGTTTCTGCAGCATATGGATTCCAGTATCTAATGCAATATCCTTCTACAGGGTCCCCTGAGAGAATCATTTGCATTACAGTTAGCACAGCATTAATGCTATTTGACATATTTCATAGATACACATCCCAAGGCATTGTCATTAATCCTTGAAACGTGACAAATACATTAAAAGCAAAACAGGCAATTAAAATCCTTTAAAAAAAAAAATAAGTGAGATGGCATTAGCAAACAGAAACAAATCCAAAAACTCTCCAAGTCAATTTCGCAATTTAAAACCATAATGACAAGATGTTCTTCCTCCACTCAGTTGTCACTGGATCCTTGGCATTTACAGCAGTCACAGAGCACAGACTGTCTTTAGGGCCATAATGCATAATGAACTTGGACAATGAAGACACAAGACTATTTAAAGCTTGGTAAACTATTGAGTAACCTTAGCATCAATCCTATAAAAGGCTGGAAGTCTACAGGGAAATATCGCTGATATAATTATATTCTGGCTGACCTTAGTGTGAAGTAGAAAACAGACAATACCATTTCATGCTGTCTCCAGACCAGGCAGGATATCATTAGCCCAGCAAGTGAAGCATTGCATTAATCATTCTTGTGCTAGAATTATCGTTTGGTGCAAGACAAGAAATGCCTTGCATTATGGCTAACCCTTTGTGTCTCTCAAACTACTCCTCTTATAGCCCCCTAAAACATAGTTTTTAATTCTAAAGACAGTGTATTTCTGAACAGACAGTAGAAATGTTTAGCAAGAACTTAAAGTTGCTATGATAAAACACAATTTTAACTGCAAAATGGTTAGTAGATCGTTGACATTTTCACTATTAGTACGAGAAAATCTTCCCCATCTTCTCCGTAAGTTACACTCTGTCCCTCACTCCCATGCAGTCAGGGGAAGTAACTGGGGAGGTCCCTCAATCAGGCCTTTCAGTATAATTTATGTTATTATAGAAGTGCTTATCAGTCAGACTGGGACTGTGGTAGGTGCTGCATAGTTCCTTATCACAAAATTGCAGTGTAAGTAGATTACCACACAACAGCACATAGCCTTCAGTATCAGTAACACACAGAAGCAGGAAACCATCTAAATGGTCCAGAGCCTAAATACCAAGTATAATAGAAAAAAGTTACTATATGTGTCTTACGAAATGAAAGATGAATCAGCCATTCACAGTCCCACTGTTGTAGAGAAGACAACATTCATCCACAGAAAACCAGTAGAGTGCCATGGGACCTGTGGACTTGCACTCCTAGGAGCCACGCAAGTCCAGCTCTAACGTTCCTCTGTTTTGTACTTTGTCGGTTCAGTCTCTTTGCTTTTGTTACTGCTGAAGGCAGGATCAGTAAAAAAGCAGGATCCTGTTTCCAAATGAAAGAAGATGAAGTCTTTAGGCTGAAAATGTGTGCTAAAAGAACTATTGTACAGAAACTGCCAAAGCAACATTTTTGTCTTGCTGAAATACTTCTTGCAAGAAGGCATTCCATCGATATAACTCATTTGAATACATTACCCATTGCTATCAATTATTTTTCTACCCATTAATTAAAAGCAGATACCCCACACACTTTCTTTGCTAGCTGTATTTGTCCTTTTATGTTTATTTGCATGTTTTGTTTGTGAGCAAATTATGGTATACCTTTATTTTGAGGGTTATTATAGCTAATGACATACTTACAGAAAGTGAAATTGCTACCTAAACCATTAAAACGGCTAACTACAAGATCAAGACATATGCCTGGAGAGATGAAATATTCTTCCAAGTTCCTGTATTCTGGGACAGCTATTAAAGGGCTTAACTTGATTTTAATCATTTCCTTCATAGGATGGAAGGATGACCACTGACAATGTTGCACAAATCAGTCATAAAACTTAATAGGAACTTGAGGATTTCGAACAAAAGCAATAAGCAGAAGTGCTGAAAGCATATGAATTACATTATCAAAAAGATTCATAGCTACTAAACCTGAAAAGTCCCAAAGACAGGCTCTGGCTTAGCTAAATTAGCTCTGGGGTTGCAAACTTCTGAGGACTGGACATAGGATTCCTTCACATGGATGAAGTAATGTGACCCAATATCTAGGCATCTTCTTATGGAAAGGAGACCATACCAACAGAGTGAAGGGTTTAAAAATCACCATGTAGTGATGCTGTGACATGAAGCATTTAATTTTCTGAGGACTGTGTTAAACTGTTCAAAATAGATGCAGTAACAGAGCTGTAGTATGTGAAGAGTTTTCAAATAGGGGTGTTGCTTTTTCATGAGGACTTCATCCAGGCTCCACTTGGATAAATTCAAATAAATTTCCTCAGCAGTGGCATTTTCTTGCTGTTACTAGACAGGATCAGCTCTGGAAAGTGAAAAAAGTCAAAAGAAAAAATAAGATGGCTTGGCAGAGTGAGGAAGGAGAAAGTGAAGTGCTCATACTTCATGTAAGATCATCCCCACAAAAAGCCAGCTGTTGTGTCGTTTGAAACTAAGGGCTGTATACAACTTCAGTAAGCCCGTCACAGGTAGGACCATGCCAGAATTGGCCAAAACTTGCATTCAGATTTGTAAGCTGATTTTCAGTCTGAGAACTGATACACAAGAATCAGCATGACTGTAGAAGTAGAGACTGAAGATTCATGATCAAAAATAAACCTTAACAATATCAGCTTAATTCTAGAGCAGCTCTTCCTGCTGACACTGGGGACTCAGCTGTGGGGTAGTGTATGACACCAGGACTGGACTGGGGTCTCTGAAAAGTCTTTTCAGAGGGAAGGAACTGTGAGAGAGAAAATAAGGAAAATACTATTGTTCCCGTAAGCACTCTTCACAACTTTGTGCCAGTCCCAGTCAGTAGATCCAAGCCTTGATTTATATGTCTTAAAAACACTGAGCAGCTCCCAGAGCAGGCTGTGTCCCTGGAGAGGACTAGATGGGTTAAGATTAAAATTCCTTGGCAATATTCAGCCTTTTTAGGGAAAGAAAAGCAGAATAGCAAGGCCGAATGAGGAGAGACATACAGTAGCAGGCAGACTGACTGACGCCTTTAGCTGCTGAATTGAATGGAAGTACATTTTCCCTGGTAATTGCTGGATATCTGAGTATTTCATCTAACATGAAGGTAAGACAATTGCTTACTTAATTTTTACTGATGAAGTGAATATGGCAAGTGTGATGAAATATTAATTTATATGGATAAATACTTAGTTGAAAATGTAATTGGGCAGTATTGCAAGAAAGAAGAAAACTGAAAAACAACAGCTTGCACAACAAAGCTGAAGAAAATCAGTAAGACGCTCTCCTTTATTTCTTAAGCTGACTAGTGTAAAGATTGCAGAAAGTTAGAACAGTTTCATGAGCTAACAGAAAAAGCAGAAAAGCAAAGTAAGTTTGCTTTTACTTTTTTTACTTTTTTTTTTTTTTTTTCAGGTGCTGGGGATTTTTCTGTTGATGGAAGTTTCAGGCTTCTTTTCCATTTTTTCCAGGTGAATATTTCTTGAGTAAATTACATGCTGAAGACTAAGCATGTATAATTTAACAGACAATTTCTGGTGCATGACATGGACCAGGGCTTAAAGGGGTCTTCATATATTTCCTGGGAGAGGAGACACTGGTGTCAGCGCTGCTACTGCCAGCAGTGGTGACAAGACTGAGTCAGCCGCCCTTTGGGAAAATAGCATACAGCGGTGGTGCAAGCCACAGCAACGCCCGTCTGTGAAACACAGCACGGTTTACCCCAAGCCCCCCCTGAACCCGGGGGCAGGTGGCACCCTCAGTGCCTCCCATTGGCAAACGCTGCGGGAAGGTCTGGTGCGTGCCATGGCACACACAGACACTGGTAGCTCCCTGCATTCCAGGTGTACTCTGGCTTCTTCCTGCTTTGACATGTGTGGTCTTTGAAGCTTATATATGGTTATACAAAGTTCTTGCTGATCTTCAGTCTAGGTGAATGTATCTAGTTTCAGTTTTTCAGTGACCAGAAAGCCCAAGCTGGGACTGATTTAATTCTTACACATGAAAGGCAAATCCAAGGAGTTTTAGAGGGAGCCTGATCATACCCCTGTTATTGAAGGTCTGCTTTGCTGTTTAGGAAAGTTTTACTCTAATGCTTATGAACGGAAATGCCTGATTAATTTTTTTTTTTTTTAATGCAAAAAATGCTACTGGAGCAGCCCTTCCCCTCCAGTCCATTGCCATTGGAATTCTTTTGGCCCTTGGTCCGAGTGCGATGGCTGTACTCAAAACCAGGTATAGATGGACACAGCTTTTCTGTAGTCATGACTTCATAAACATATGCTTTTTTTCCCATTAAGGAGCTGCTTTAAAACCCCAAGTCAGGTGTCAGACAGAAGACCCAGCAGAATGAGAAAACTGAGGGAAATCCTCCAGTCTGTCTTCAATATGTTCCATTTCAAATATTCATGTTGTAAAACAATTTGTGTACTTTTTATTTTGGTGATAATTCCAAAAAGCTCAACTGAACTGTTTGATAAACTGAGACATTCTTCCACTGATGCTGATTTGTACCAATTCCATTGATTTTTCATTAGTGAAGTCATGTCTCAAGGAAAGAAAACTTGGTTGCAAAGTATTAACCCCAATGAAAACAAGGTGATGATTTTTACAGTGCAACTCTATTGATGCACAAGACACTTTTAATTTTCCTTCTGATTTAACTGACATTGCATCAGTATAGCAGGGATTAGTCAAAATTAAAGATATGCCATGAGATAGTACTTACTCTTATTAGAAGCAAAATGTAGCCTATTTGATGTTAGATTTTATCATCTTCCTCAATGACATTGTTTACATTGAAGAACTTTAGCAAATTCATATTGGGCATGATTGGTCCTATTAAAAACGTAAAACAAAACTGAAATTTGTCAGCAGCTTTCTCTTGGTTTCAGTTGCATATTAGATTTTTGAACAAACTGGCCAAGCTTATGCATCAGACTAAATACCTTATAGATAAAATAGTTGTCTTTCTATTGAGGGTTTGTTACCATATTGTGGTAATAACAAGCATGGTTTTCTCAGAAAAAGTAGTGAATGTCTCTTTTTCTTATAGCAGTATACTATTCCTGCTTTGCATTTGGATTTTCTAATATCTCCCTTGATTTGCACTCAGATTCGGAGACGGACAGTAGCAGTTTACGGACAGTATGGGGGAAAACCCTGCCCTGGGGATGCCTTTGAAACAAGACCATGCACCCCCACAAGGGGATGCCCAACAGAAGATGGCTGTGGTGATCGGTTCAGATGTTTCTCAGGTACCATTCAAGATTTTTTTCACCATTTTCTGGTCATAAAGTTAAGAAGATAACCTTGTTATCTCTGAACTTTAGTAAATAGTTGTGTCCGGACCTCCGCGTCAGCAGCAGTAAATGGGCAATGGCTTTGCAGAACCCTTGACCTACAGATAAATTTAATTTAGGAGGATGTTTCCTTTTTTCCATCCTCAACTAAGCAAGTTTTTAACTTCATCTGGAGTGTTACAGATAATATGCTGCAGCCCCGGTCATCTCTCTAAGTCATTCTGCTTTACCTATTTGCCCCAGAGTACAGGTTTTTTCATTATGAGAAGGTAATTAAGGAATGCAACCTTAGAGGTGATTGTTCAAAACTGTTCTAGGCTATATCCAAACATCTTCGAAATCACCTGAGTCAGGTAAACTAATGCTCACTAAAGCAGTCCTTGTATCCAAGCAGCTTCCATTACCTTCACAAAAAAGCACATTATTTCAGTAGATAGGCGTTTATCACAGAGAAGCATGATAAACAGGTTTTGGTGCTACCAAAGAGTTAATCACAGTTCATCACAAGTGATATGGTCAAAGGATGAAAGCTCAGAAAATAAATCTAGAAGTCATCTGTTTTGTTATCATAAACCTTGAATGGCTGTGGTTCCCTCAAGTGTACTATACACTGTTTCTTTTTGTCTACATTTACTGTTATTTCACGAGCCCTCCCAGGCCCAGACTGTTCATCATGGGAGTGACAAGCTAATTAACGTAGTAGATAAGTAGGACTTTTGCTTTGATTTTAGATGATTTAGTTTTAAAGGAATAAATACTTCTTTCCCCATACGTTTTTGATCTGATTTAGGTCAGTGCATTAGCAGATCTCTTGTGTGCAATGGAGATCAAGACTGTGAGGAAGATGGTGCAGATGAAGATCGATGTGAAGAGAAGATGACTGTATGTGATATTGATAAAACACCTCCAAATTCAGAACTTACAGGAACAGGGTAATGTTTTGTGCCAAGCTCAGTAGTACTGGTGCCAAATGCATTTATATTTGTATTTACAAGCTCTGGCTGTACAGATAGGCTTTCTGGGCCTATGATAAAATGTCCCATATGCAAAAGTGTTCAGTACAATGGCCTCCATCATGCCAGTGGCTCAGTGAAGCCAGGATGTACAGACACTTTGATCTGAAGTACAAAATAAAGCTTTCTATCTTTCATTCCCGCTATTGAAAAACATCTTTTAAGATATGAAATGAAACGTCAACCAATAACACATGATCATCAGCATGGAAAAAATGAGCCAGCAATGCTCATTCTTTTTGTTCATTGCATTTAGTACTGCAGATCCATATGGAATTTTTTTTACATCCCAGCTGCAACCTAGAAAAATCATTATCTTACGTTTCCTTAGTGTAGTGGTATCACTTGTTTTGCATTATAATTCAGATTTAATACAAAAACCATTTTGGAATGGATGCCCTGTTGTTTCCGTGTTGCATTAACTGCTGGAAGAATAAAACTTAATAAAATCAGTTGAGATAGATAGGAATGTCTTATTTTTAAGAGGTGCTGGTATGTGTTCATTTTTGTTGACAAATAAGAGCAATATATTGCTTTCCATATTGTAACATGCTATGCACACTGCAGTTCTGCAGGTATAAAAGTCTGTCAGCCAGTATCCCCTTTCCTTGGGTAAATCAGCTTATGATCTCAATCTGTAGATACAGCATTCAGTTAGAATGGTTCTGTAATTTTTGCCTCCTGTAAAATAATTTGCTGCCTCTCTGTCTTAATGGTCTTTCATGTTTTTCTTCTCGTAGCTATGATGCCATTACTGGTGAGACTAGGGGGAGAGTCATACATACAAAAACCTTCGGAGGACAATGCAGAAAGGTCTTTAGTGGTGATGGGAGAGAATACTACAGGCTGAGTGAAAGCGTTCTTGCTTATACTTTCCAGGTACGTTTTCATTAAGCACAGCTTTATACTTGGAGTCATGATTAAAACTGGGAGAATGATGCAAAGCTTGTAGGGTCTCTTGACAGGTAGGCTTTCCTAAATGCAGCTGAATAACTAACACCTGCTCCCTCTCTGCAGTCACTTACTGGTTTGAAATACAAACTGTTGTATAACTTGCTAAAATGAAAGGCATAAAATTGTAATTCCTTGGATGTGATTTCTAATCCTCTCAGACTTTGATTGAATGTAAAGCCATCTCCTTAGCATAAGTAGTGGCCTGAATCACGCTAAGAAATCTTGCACAAGGCTTTTGGGTGCTTTGTGAAGATCTTCCGGAGATACGCTTTGTTTGAAGTCACTGTCTCAGAGATTTTATCTGTCTGCATTTATCAAAAACATGTCAAGCAATCCTTAATGTACTTTACTTCATAACATAAATACTTAATATACAAAATATAAATGTATAAGAAATGCTTTTCCAGTAGCATTCAGTACTTTTTCTGAAATCTGAAATGGATTCAGCCTGAAAAACACATGAGTTTTTTGCATCAGGAAGAACTTGCTCTACTCTAGAAGTTATCTTTTTTAACATCCTTTATGAAACCATTCAGAATTCTATCTTTCATCATCTAGGTTAAAATTCAGAATGATTTCAGCTATGAGTTTTTCAACAGCAGCTGGTCTTATATGAAACACACAGAGAGGTATGAAAAATCAAACAGTGGACACAGTTATTCACAGAATAAAATTATGCAACACAGTCAAAAGGTATGTATAAGTTGTCACTGTGTCTTAGTATTTTGCATAAATATTTTAATCTTTTTTTTTAATGTGCTTTTATAGTGAGATGCAAATATTTATTTTATCCATATATTTTTGTCACAAAGTGCATGACAGAAAAAAAATCTCATAAAACCTTTTAGAAAGAGATCACTGGTTTGTGTATCAATTAAGAAGGGTTGGATGTTGGTTTTACTTTTGCCATTTCATCTTTTTATTAGTAATTTATTTATTTGCTTGCTGTCTTTCTCCCTATTTGAGGAAGGAAAACATTGGTTTCTTCTCATAATTTATCAGTCTTTTCTGTTTTCTTCTAATGATTTGCTGCCCTTTTTTTCCCTATTACCTCTGTCAGTATCTTGGAGAGAAAAAATCGAAGTAATTTTGCAATTAAAGTTAATTTATTTTATGATATATTTCCACTAGTAGAACTCCATTATGAGAGAGATCTGGTGTCTTAAACAGCCAGGAGGTCACAGTGTTTATGCTTCTGAATTACTTAAAAAGGAGCATTAAATAAATAACTCTCAATTATGAAGTATAATGTCTATCTTACAGCAAATAAAATAAAGTAACAAATGTATACATTTTGTGGCCTCAAGCTGACAGAGGACAGACCTATTTTACCAACTAGCAGTGTCACATTTTGAGACTTTGCATAAAAATATTCAAAAGCAACTTTGAGAGGCTGAGGTGAACAATACTCTATAGGTACATAGGATTTTATAATTTAGCAGCATCCTCAAAATTATTACAGCCCTTTATGAAGAAAGGCTGCTCTAGACAAAACAGGGTGCAAAGAAGGACTCTCAAGTTTCAGACAAGGCCTGTTAACCTGCTACTGCCAGGACTCTGGTGTTGGAAACCAGTATTAGCTTTGAAGAGTGATATTTTCCTTTCGTTGTCCTTATGCTGGCTTTCAGGTACATTGTAGGAAAAGAAAGATGTTGCAGCAATTATAAATAAAGGTCCAAAAGATATTTCCTAACTTCAGAGTATTCTTTTTGCATTCAGTGGGTTGCTGAGACATATCTGACAGCTCTGTAAAGCTGGTGGTTAGTAGCCAATATAATATGCATGTTGTCTGGCTAGTAAGAACCACCCTGATGGTAACATGGAGCATGACTGATGTATTTTCCTTCCCCCAGAGTAAGGTGTTGATGGTTGTTGAGAACAGTGTGGAAGTTGCTCAGTTTATTAACAATCGCCCAGACTTTCTTGCTCTTGCGGAGCCCTTCTGGAAGGAACTGGCCAACCTTCCAGTCGTCTATGAATACAACATCTACCGAAGACTTATTGAAAATTTTGGGACTCATTTCTTACACTCTGGATCTCTGGGAGGACATTACAAAGTTATTTTTTATATGGATACTGACAAAATGAAAGCAGAAGGTAGAGTACAAAGAAACTAAGTGAATAAACAAGAATAAAAATTTATTGGCATGTACTCCCAGCTAACATTTAAAATCAAGTAAGTGACTTCTACTAGCCACCACATTCTCTCATGGACAAAAGAAAGAAGATTAGAAAAAATGCTCAAACCACAACATTCAGTTCTAGATCAACATCTGTGACCTGCAGTGTTCTAGGTAGCAATGATTTGATAGTTGGTTCAGGACCCAATCAAGCTAAACTTGAATTCTAGTGCCAATCTAAATCTCTAATAGTGTTAAAGGTTAGAAGTTGCTTGGAGATAAAGGTTGTGTAAACCTATGTAAAGCAGAACAAATTACAAACAGAGCAAACACCAGAGTGACATGTATGAGGGTACTCAGTGGGAAGCTGTGCTGTAGAATGAGGGACTGCTGAGAAAAGTGATGAAAGAAACAATAAACTTTTCACAGATACAGCTCCCCATCACTCACCCTCCATCCATAAGCTTTAGCAACACATGGACCTTCCCATGGGATGTGCTAGTTAGTTGCCTTCTAATTTAGGCATAATACTTCATGATATCTCAAGTCAATGGGAAACTCAGAAATTAATCCAACACACTTTTTGTGTACAGTATTGTTAATGGATCGATTATCTGTAGGTATGAGCATAACAGACATGTACCAGTGCACCACATCAGGCTGGAACGCATTCATTGTGAAAAAGAAGAAAGTAAAGTGCTCCAAACTGGATGAACTGCTACTGACTTCTTCAGGTAAATGTTCAACAGTGACTCATACACTTGTCATGTCTCCCTCTTTCATCTCCTCCTAAATAGCTGTTAAAATGAGAAACAGGTATTGATAACTTCCTTGAACTCCATCTTAACACACTGAACCCAGACAACAAGTGCCTCATATAAAAGGAGTATTGGAGACAATACTCATCCATCACTGCTAATGTTTTCCCAGTATCTAGTACTTTTCTAAAAACCCTCAATCAGGGTTGCCAAGATATCTACAAAACTAGATATTTCTTATATATTATCAATGTAGGAGCTCTTGATCCAAGCACAGGTGTTTGATTGCATTAATGAGTCCTTTCACCACTTGCTAGCATAGTTTTTGCATTATTGTTTCTATTTCTATTTGTAAGTTTAGCAATGCTGTTATTTTCTTTATTTCCCATCCTGAATCTACAGGAAGCAGTGGTAATAAGATTAGAGGAGACCCCTACATAGAAGGAGGAAGTCCAGGTGCTGTTGCTGGTCTTAGTTATTTGGAGCTGGATAATCCTGCTGGGAACAGTCAGAGATACTCCTTTTGGGCCAGCTCAGTGACAGACTATCCCAGAGTAATTAAACAAAAGGTAAGGCTTTTTTCCTGAAGCAGAGATGAGCAGATGGGATCATGTCAAAGGGAGAAATGATTAAGCTATAGCGGTTGATTAATCAGGTTGTAGTCTGCAATCATTTTGTTTTCGGATCACTTTATAAAAAAGCAAAGAAAAGTTCACAGAAAGAGAATGCCACGAAGGTAATGTGATCAGCTGCATCACAAATCTAAGTCCTTTGGCAAGTCAATGCCTATAATCTAACTGAAGACTGCTTCAGTGACTCTAGTGAAGTTCAGTTTAAGAATAGAGGGTCACTCTACCCTTGGAGAAAGCCCAGATTTGAGATATTCCCTTACCTGAAATGCATATTGGCAGGCCTGTGTGGCTTCCACTCAGCTTGCCAACTTCTGTGTATCCCTTTTTATCCCTCCTTCTTCTCTCTCATCCAGAAGTTAGCATTACTGGAGATTCTGGAAGCCGGTCACTTCAAAGCTGGGTGTGGCCATATTCACTACTACCTTGTCTAAGTCCCTTTTGCAAACTGTTCACAAATTGAAGAATGGTATAAACCCAAAATATTTCTCTCAGGAAGGTTTCAATTAAATGCAAAAGCACAGAATATTGTAAAATAAGAAACAGAAATGCAAAATGTTTTCACTTATTGTTCCCTTCAAGCACTGCTCAATGAAATACCATAATGGATTGTTTAAACATCCAGCTTTTAACACTGAGAATAACTGGGTGAGAATTGAGGTTATTGTACATTGGTGGCTTGTGTTATACTTTTATCTCTGCTGTAATCTCATGGGTCAAATACATTTAAACTACCACTAACTTTAAGGGTTGCTGTTAACAGAGCTGACTTTCCAAAAAAAAAAAAAAAGCTAATAGCTAGCTAGCAAATTAGAGCATCTGTCAACTCCCATTTGCAGGAGCATACATCACAAATTATTTTGCATGATGAAATGTGCTTATAAACTCTTATAACACAATTATAAGTATTTAATAGAAATGTTTCTCTACTGTGTATAGCTAACGCCATTATATGAGCTGGTAAAGGAAGTGCCCTGCTCCTCAGTCAAAAAGCATTACCTGAAACAAGCCATTGAAGAATATATGGCTGAAAATGATCCCTGCAAATGTCAGCCTTGCCAGAACAGTGGTGAGGTGGCTGTAGAAGGAACTCAGTGTGTGTGTTACTGCAAACCCTACACCTTTGGAGCAGCTTGTGAGCTGGGAACTCTCGTGCAAGATCAGCCAGGTCAGCACTCTTTAAACTTGTGAGAGTTTAGAAGTGGCAAAGTGTGCTCTCCTGCTTCCAGAGTCATTTTGTCCCACTGCACAACTTGAATGAGTGGGTGACGTGCAGTGGCTTCTTGGGTCAGTTATCACTGCAGACGTACAACATGGAGAGGGTCATGTTGAGCCTGAGTCTTTGCTTAACATGTCCAGACACAAGTAACTTAACAAAGGACTGTTATTACTGTTAAATACAGTGGACAATACTAACCACTCAAAATGAGTATCAGGAACTTTAAAAAATTTTGCCTTTTAATTTTATTATTAGTTGTAGCTAATAGCTATTTTTATGTTCTCTCAGACTCTGATGACATATAGACTGTGGAAATATACTTGTGTAAAAGGCAAGTTTGGGAAAGGTGAACTATTAGATCATCACAGTCTGAAATTCTCTGTAAGGGCACAGTTTGGACCATCACTAGTTTTGAACAGCCTGTGCCTTTAAACCACCTACAGAGTGGTTTAATGTGAAATACTCCCAAATGTGGCATAGGTGGTATTGATGGACACTGGAGCTGCTGGTCTTCCTGGAGTTCTTGTTCAGGGGGAAGGAAATCAAGGAGTCGAACCTGTAACAACCCCTCCCCGCATGGTGGTGGGAAGGCCTGCATAGGAGAGCAGCATGAAAGCAGACCATGTGAAGACGAAGAGTTGCAGCATTTTCGGTAAGCAGAAAAAACAGTTTGAGCACCACTACAGGAAGATTTAAAAATGTATTTCAGAAGGGAGCATAATCTATTGAATTTGGGAAGAAGATCACTTACTGAGCTTTCATATTTAAGTTGAGACAAAATGAAATTCAGAGGCTGTGAATCTGCTACAAGGTAAGAGTAGAAAATGGGGTTAAAGCCAGTAAACTTGGCACCATTCTATTTAGCACTCTCTCAGATAGCCTGGCAGTGCCTGATTTAATTGTGATGTAAATGCAACTCATAATAGTCTTGAAAAAGGGCTTTACTGAGAAGTGTAGAATTTTGAAAGGAAGGGAGACTAAATTCAAACTAAGTCATACTTTTGTTTGCTTCATAGCTTGATTGAACCACACTGTTTTGATCTATCCATAACACCTACAGAGTTCTGTTCACCTCCTCCTCTCTTGGAAAATGGATTTGTTCAAGTAAGTTATTTCTATTACTCTATTTTCTGTCCTATTCCTACCTGCAGTGTCTCTATTACAGTTAATACAGATATTCACTTGCAAATTTGTATTTATCTTGGCAAGCTTAGTATCAGAGCTACTGTAGAGCAGCTCTGTCAGCATTTCTCCCTGACTGAAGTTTACATGACATTAGCCAAGATTTCTTACTAAAAATAAAAGAAAAACCAAAAAGTCCCACCCCTAAAACCAGAACAAAATCTTTGCTTTTCTGGACCATGGTACCTACAGAGAAAAGTAACCTACTTGTCCTTTACCCTATACACGTATTAAAAATTTTGTCACATGAATTACATATTAAAGCACAGAAAACTAGAGAAAAAACAGCACAGAAAGTAAACTGTCCAAGCTCATCCTGCAAGTCCATAGCAGAATTATAAACAGATTTTAGGAATCTTCATTCTACATGCTATAACTCACCATTGCACTTTCTTGTTCCCTAGTGAAACTATGATATGACACGGTATTTGGATGACTGTAGCTTGAGCCTGTTTAGTCAGGGAGACTAAATTCCTCCCTTGGAGGAATGGATTATGCCTTCTGCATGTTATGAGGCTATATAGAGTATTTTTGCCCAATAAATAGATAAAAGGATTAGTTCAAAATCCATTAGTTGCCTCTGCACAACTGCAACCTGAGGCAAGATCCAAAATTTTGTTCTCCCTCTTTGCCAGTGATTCTTTTGTGGGTAATCAATAGTCATCTCCTATATTGATATTTTGGTTCACAAACAAACCCTGCAGTTTGTGGAGTACTCTCAATTTTTCATAAGATCTCTCCTTAGAGTGGGATATAAAATGAGAGAAGACCTGTGTCTTCAAGTCCAGATCTTTCAAGTGGCCATATCACAATAACCTTTAGCAAGCTGATAACATGCCATCCTAAGAATTAGCAAAGCCGTATACTCTCCACTGATCCCCCTGGAAGGCTGTTCAAGAGCTTATGTTCCCCCTCTAATGCTTGATAATAGCCATATTTGCAGTAGTTTACACACTGTTAGGAAAGCACTGTTCCATCACTGATGTACCACTGCCAGACACATGTCACCGGGTATCTTCAACTCTAACCCTCCCTTTGCTAAATTAAGGTAGCCCAAATGTTCTGTATTCTACCAATTCATTCGCAGCATCGTGTCTTCATTTTGGTCACATTTACTGACTATTGATAACCAGTTGCCCCCAGTATTCCAGACACTCCCAGCAGTGCACTGTAGAGAGATGTTAATACTTCCCACTGTCCTCAGCTACGGCATCCCAGAATCAAAGGGAGTTCAACTCTGCTGGTGGTTCTTAGACTCTATACTCAAAATTTCACCTGCTCTTTTTCTTTCAGAATGCTGAGAACTCATACCCTGTTGGGAAAAGCATTGTTTATGCTTGCAAACACGGGTATTCTCTTGTTGGCGACCCTGTTGCTAAGTGTGGCAGTAATTTACAGTGGCAAGTTGGAGACAGATATTGCCAGGGTATGTCTAACTAATTCTTGGTTTGAAATACAACTCCATTCCTGAATTCCAGTGAAACATCTCTGAATATTTGCTTTCCAACAACACACCTGCATTTCCCAGTTACCTAGGCATAATCAAGTCTAAATTAACTTTTATTTTGAATCCAGATATTGTAATACTGAAATAGAAACATGCCCATAAGGTCTGGTTTTAAGGAAGGCTGAAAGTGAGTGAGACTAAATTCCAGTCCAAGAATTACTTCTTGTGGAAACAAACTTTGTTTTTTAATTCAGTCCTGTGGCTATATCCAAGAACCATGGGAATGAGTCTATGTCTAAAGCCAACCCAGGAAAAGGTCCAATGGGCAGCACCAGGCAACCACTGTTCTTTAAATGCCTGTAAGAACACAGTTCCAAGGATCACTTTGTGTCTTGGATGATCTCCTCACTTCACTCTTTTCCCCTAACCTGGGCAGGAACCATTAGGGTTTCTTTTTTTCTCTGCATATTTTACTTGTGAGTCAAATTTGAGGGTGATCATACAGACTTGGGAATTTTCAGACCTGCAGTTCAACTCCATCTTTTCCTCATTCCAGCCAGGGCTGACTGACCACAAATGCTAGTCCACACTGTTTAAATGCCATCTCTTTGTGTATCAGTACATAGTCTCCAAGGATCCTGTATGTATGACCTCTCTCTACTAGGGTGTTACTCTCTAGTATGAACCCTCAACAGAAATATGGGTCCTAAGAAAAGAGAAGCCCTCTTCAAGCTAGGGCTGAACCTGCAGGCAGTGGGAGAACATATTGTCATTCTGTCCTTGATATGGCACATGTTTGGCTGGTGTGATGAGTTAATATCCTGGGCTAACATGGTTGATATGTTTCTACAGGAAAATCAGCTGGTCTTACCATTCAATTTGTTAAGGAGTGTAAGAGAAGATAAAATATGTGACTGCTTTCTGCAATCCACTGTTTCACTGTGATTATCTCAAACGCTTCAATCCTTAGAAACTGCTTGTCCCCTGCCTGTCCTGGAGCGGGGTTTGCAAGGAGAGCCGTGGAAACCTGTGTATGAGATTGGTGAGAGAATAACTCTGTCTTGTCCACATGGTATGCACTTAGAAGGGGCACACTCCATTCTGTGCGAGACCAGTCTCAAGTGGTCTCCTGACATGAACACTATCCAGTGCAAGAGACCAGGTAAGCCATTGTACTCCTCCAAGTGCAATGCAGGTGTTTCTTTTCTGGACAGACTATGGCTTATATAGTAAAAAAAATAGACAGAGGTACAAATTATATAGTGATAGAGAAGCCATACTAAAACCACCATCAGGAAGCACAGAAAAATGAGTGTGTTTTCTGTGGTCTGTTCAACAAAGATGCCCTGAGACATTTCTTGTGAGGCTTCCTTACAGCTTTTTGCTTTCCACTTCGCTACTGCTATCAAGTATTGTTACTAACTGTATTTTAAGAGATTGCCTGGGATGTATGCTGCCTATTCTGCCACCCAAGTGTACTTCATTTTCCACCCATGTGCTGTAATACCACCACCATGTGAGCTGCACCTCAGAGATATGACTTCCATATCTGAAAGCTGTTCAGTGCACCACAGCCTCTCATGGCAGAGAAGTACAGGGCTGGCTGACTCCTTTTGTTCATCTGACAGTCACACAGCAGATATGGAGTAAATCTCCAGGAACTGGAAGCAATGGGAAAATGCTGCTTCAAATTCATGGTAACAGTTTAAGCTGTGGGTTGATACTAGCAGGCACTGAGAGAGAGGGAAATGGGCTGTAGCATACAGCGGCTCTAAATCATCTTTTCCAGCTGTTGGAAGGCAGTTGTCTTGAGTGTCTTGAGCACTCCTGTGATGCTGATCAGTGACATATAGGCATCCAAGCATCTTGTTGCTTCAAGCCAGTCACATCTTCATCCAGATGTTCTCATATCCCTGCTGAGACCCTTGCTTGGGGACAACTGCCACTGCTGTAGAAGACTAGGCATCTCTTTTACAATTCATGTCTGTCCTCTCTTTATCAACCAACTGCTGCCTGAAGTTGCCTCAGCTGAGGGATGGATCAGGTGACAGTCAGACCTCAAAAGGCAAGGGTCCTGTGATTCATCAGCTGCTGTGTCATATCCATATGCACAGGAAGCATAAGAATTTCAGAAGGAATAACATAGCTGTACGTAAACGGCTCACTGCTGCTCAAGTGCTAAATTACCTGTCTGAAATACTGTTGTGAATTACTCCTTAGGCTCAGCTTTAGTGACTGATTTTCATCATTTTTTGTTACATCTTGTATTCAAATTCTGTAGTAAGTAGAACAAGTTTCAAGTACTTCCCTCTTTAGAAACAGTTTCTGCCCGGTTGTATGGGAGCGTTACTTTAGTACAAATATAAAAAAATTAAAAAAGGGACAGCAATTAGATTAGAATAACAATTAGAACAACATTAAAAACAAACAAACAAACAAACAAAAAAACCAAAACAGGAATATGAGATAAGAAGGCTAAAAATTAAGAAGGTAATTAATTCACAGACACAGTGGCACACATATGATTGGATGAGAGTATTTGGTCAGCAATGTCAGTAGCAGTCAGCTATACAACCAACAGTTCCAACGGTGGAGACAATGCAGTGAATTTTGGCGGAAATTTCCCCTGTGCAGGAAGATGGGTATGCCTGTTTTCTGCACTGGAACTTTTTTTTTTTTTTTTTTCACCTTCTCTGGCAATTTCTGCCTGTCTATTTTGCTTGACAAGTCTTAATCTGTAAGGGAGACTTGAAAAAATATTTTTTTAAGTAACAATCTTCAATGATGTTAAAGTTTCATGTTAAAGTAGGAAACTACAGACATCTAATCTAGAAAACAAATAGGGATAAAGCTTTCTCAGAAAGTGTGTCCATACAGATTTAGCAAAGTCTTGACATTACTTGACACAGAAATCTCCATAGGAATGTTTAGCAAAGGCCTATTGCATTTTCAAGCTTGGAATACAACCATGCACTCAAAGAACGGTACTTGTGCAATCACAAAAATTCCCCAAGAATCACTATTGCTATTTTTAAAGTTAGTGCAGATTGAAGACTAATGATGGAACTTGTAGTTTTTGTTAGCATCAGTGTATAAAGATATTCAGGTTCACATTTCTACATAGGACTTTGGAACCTTAGGTTTTCCAGTGACAGTGGCGAAGCCAGTAACTCTGAAACCTAATGATAAAGCTACTGCCAGTGATCATTCAGCACTGCTAAATTTAGCAGAAACAAACAGCTGCTGCAGAAATGAGATGAATGTTTAAGCTTCAGCATAGTACCTGTCTCCTTCCATCTGACTCATGACCCGTGGATAAATTACTAAACAGTAACTTTGCAAAGTGTATCATATCTTTTTAATAGTGTTGATTCCTTCCACACAGTAGACGCTTTTATTGAACATGCAGGATATGACTTTATGTCATGGTTGTATAATTCAGTATGTTTTAAGCTCAACTGATAGGATAATTTCAGAGTAGACCTTTAACAGCCCTTGTTTTTCTGACCCTTAATAACACTGTCTGTGTTCTGCTACTTCAGTGCCCAGTGTGAAACCAGAAGTGACAGAACCTAAATGTCAGCCATGGGAGAAAGTGCATCAGTCACAATGCGTGTGCAAAATGCCCTATGAGTGTGGGTAAGTTCAGGCTGAATTTGGCAATGACTTTCTCACTTTATTCAAGACCAATTAAATTTTTTAAGTCTTCAGTCCGTGACAGATGAGAAAGCTTTACTCATATGAGAATGAGGCATTGTACCTTGTTTGCTTTACAGCTCAATCAATGTCCTGTTCATCACTTACCTGCCTTGTCAGAGCTGTCAGTGGGTTTTAGCAGTGATGGAATTTGGTTGGATGACAGAAGGTGAAGGGATAATTTCAGCTCCACTTGATATGTGAAATAGATGGAAAAAGATAAAATGATATTTTGAAGATTTAGAAGATTGACGGTAAGTTAGAACAGAGGCCCTTGGGACATAAAGCATCAAAGCAGTAAGCTAGTGAAATAAAGCAGATTTTATTTCCCTGCTGAGAGACTGAAGAGTTATGAAAGGCACAATAATCTAATCTTCCATTTACATAGCAGTTTGTACAGACCAGTCACATCACTTTTCCTGACCTCACAACTTGCAGACCAGAGTTTATTTTTTCCTGTTTGATCTAAGCCTATATTCTGCAATGATCAGTGCAGGAGAAATGTAAGGAAATCAGTAACTCTTTCAGTTCTTTGTTAAACATGGAGGTAACAGAATCAAAACAGAGAATTAACAAGAAGACACCTGAGACCACCTGGAGCTGATGGCCAGATGTACCAAAGAGCTCAGCACTCCAACGTCTGGGCTAGTTTTGATAGACTGGATGAAGTCTCCTATAAAGTCATCACAGTAGGTGTGAGCTCTGGATATGAAATGTGGCCAGGCTTATGCCACAGCAGGAGCTGAGCAGTTTGGAAACTCTGGGATAACAGGCCAAATTTGTCTTATCCGTGTGTAGTAGGCAGAGAAATCTTTGTTGCCTCAAGTTATTTCACGTAGCACTTCTCAGTGGAGTATGTGTACTTTCCATCAGCCATATAGTTCAAGAGTCCCCTGCATGATTACTCTGGTTTTAAGTCAAAATTACCACACTTGAACATCTCAAAATTAAAACTGGTGAGCTTATTTCAGTTTTTTGTAGACCCACTAGACACTTCCCTAGGGTCTGAGCCCATTGTCTTGCATGCAAAGCTAAGTGCCAGGTTTGTAACAACTCTGCTAGGACTCCAGTCCTGTGCTGAAACACCTAAATATTTAAAATAATCTGGTTCTACTCTTTTGTCTCAATACTCATTAAAGTGAGTATTAAAAATCCTTCCTCTGGTTTATGGGTGTGTTGAGGTTAGTTACGTAGATGATGAGGGGAGCCCACAGTGTTAGGGAAGGCATTGGGCAGAGTCACAATAACCTTGTAAATTGAATTGATTACGTTCACTTATGCATTCAGGCTTCAGTTATAATTAATCTACTACTTGCCTGTTTCTATTTTTTATAATTATGTTCAAAATGGCAGGAAGATAGATAACAGTCATTTCTGTTACCTGATGCCATCTTTTCGCTGTCTTGAAATAACACATCTAATAATAGAAAGATAAATCATCAGCTGTCAAAGCAGACTAATCTGACAGCCTGTTAAGGCTGTAGGAGTAAGGCATATAAGCAGATCTTGGTCCTTCCTCAGAGAGCAGAAGTAACTTGGCTTGCTTTGCTGTGGCAGTGACCTTCAGCAGCAGCCTCTGCTTGGAAGAGAGCTGGGAAACAGATTTGGTGTGGAAATTCAGGAATATCATGGTTTCAGGCCCATCCTACATCCTGTCAGTTTCCAAGAGACTAGCCACGAAGACTTCCCAGGACAACATAAGAATCCTACAACAGGCTGGTGTGGGGTAATTTGACCCTCCTTAGGTGCTGCCTTAGGCCACATCTATCCTCATCAGTTAGAACAAGGGAATATTCTGAACAGCAGAGCTGCCAAATTGCTAAAGCAGCTCCTGGTAGAACTTTGGCAAGGGTAATTCTCAGGAACAGTGCAGGTGTTACTAGGGTCAGGGACCATTCCAGTCCCCACTTTTGGGGGAAAAAGAGAGTTCAACAGAATGAATGAACACCAGCTATCCAGCTATTCTGTGTGAATTGGCCCTAGTGTAAGGAAGGGGTCAGAGCACAGTTAGTGTGTTAATTCAGATGAAACCTCAGTCTCCAGTAGCTAAAGACTATCTCCACAGTGAAACATGAGATTTGATAACTTTAAAATACTATCTTCTCTTTTTTCCTCCAAATTTATTGGTGTAACATCTATGTCTCTCTCAAGAGTTGCTGGCCTGTGTTGTTATATTAAAAATTACGGTGTTGAATATAATTTTAAGAAGTTAAAATAATTACCAGCATGATGAATTTTTTCACTTTTTAGTTTCATGGAAAATTGCCTGCCTCTCATTGTAGGTGAAAGGGAGAGAAGGTATTTGCTGACTTATATATGCTATTCCATTTCTTACAATATGTGTTCTAGTAAAAAGCTTGTTCTTATACAGACTTTCCTTTTCAGGTAAAAGAGATTGAATTTCTCACATTCACTTTACACAGTCATTCTTCCTTGCCTCTAATAATTTTTATTGCACTGCTGTGATGCTTCTAGCCCTGCAATATTCTTTCTCAGCAATGAGTGCAAATTATTAATTTTTCTTATGAGTACAGATTCTCCATCCTTTTTCTTATGCATCTGAATATGTTGATTTCCACTGGCTTTCTCCCAGCTGACCCAGATATAGCAAATATGTGGAGCATTCTCAAGGCAGTTTGAGGGATTATACCACAGTGAGAGATTGACAACATGGACCATGAACTTCCTGGGTTCAACCTTTGGCAGCTGGTTAAAGCAGCCTCCCTCCCCTCTTTTGGCGTTGCTAAAGTGGTACAAAGCAGACAGATCAGTGCTCTTGTGTCTGGCCTTAATGTTTTCAGCTAAATTAAGCTGCCTTGTCTAAAAGATTTTGACCTTAAGACTCAGATACTGAGATTTATCACTCAGGCAAATAAAGAAGGCTTTTGAACAATTTTAAACATAATAAACAAGTTAATTACAGATTAGATGCTTTCCCTGGATCACACTTTGTTCTTCCAAATTTATGATGATATTTAAAGATGAAGTTTTTCTCATACCTCTGTCTGCAAAGATAACTTTCACGTTATAATTCAGCACACCACTAACACATAGGCTGTGATGCCAGACAAGCAAACAATGTAATGCAGACAGATGTACCAGCTTCCTTTAGCAGCTGCTTGGTGCTGCATATCCATTGTGTTGTCCTCTTGTTGTCCCTCAGAATATGAAATGTCCCTCAGAAATGAGGCAACAAACTATACTAGAGATCTAGTGGCTGGTATTTTGACTAAGCACAACAGTTGAGGGACTCATTGCAGTTGAGTATACTAACTTAAGTAGGAGATGTGATACAGTTAATAATCTTTGAAGACATATTTGGTTGCAGTTAGATGCAGCAAAGTTTTCAGGCTCAGCTAATAAACTCTGTACCAAATTTTAAATATCGTAAAAGTGCACTATGTTACAGGTAGTTTAAGGTTTCTGTAAAGCCAGATCTTTTAAGAGGCTTCAAAACCCTCTCTCAAAGAACCAGTCCCAAAGCTTGGACCAGGCACTTTTCCTCAGTGTCTTATTTATAGATCTACCAAAACCCACTTCCTAATTCCCAGGAAAAAAAAAACCAAACCAAAAAAACCCCCCCACACAAAAAACCCCTACACAAAAACAAAACAAAACAAAAAGCAAAAACCAAACAAACAAAAAAACACAAAAACAAAAAAAAAACCCAACCCAAAACCTTAACACATGACCAGCAAGTAAGCAAGATTTGAGTTAGGACTTTCTTACTATACCTTCCCTCTTCCAAATTCCTCTTCACTACGATAAGCCACTTTCTCAAGGACTGTTACCCGCCCCTTTCAGGCAGTTTCCTGAAGCTCATTAGGGCCATTTCCCTGTTCATCATCAGACTCTTCTCTCCACCAAATACCTCTTTATCTGAGGTTGACTCTCAGAACTGACGCATTAGACACCAGAATTTTCTGTGGGAGTGTTTGTGAGCTCAAAAGGAGGACCTGTGCTGAAAGTAGGCCTTTGGCATTGTATTTCAAAGCTCTCCATCCCCTGGGAGCACGTCTCTGCTTTCTCATACCCTGCCCTAGCACCTTACCTGTGGCTGTAAAGAGCATCCTGGAATGCATAGGCATGCCAAAGAGGCACTTTTTTTTTGTTCACTCCGCACAAATGCCACTGATTGCATTGAGGACAAGTGGAGAAGTTTGGGGTTTGAGATTAAAATCCAGAAATAATGGAAGGGCTTTTTACAGCCGTCCTACACTTACAGCATGAAACAGAAATGATGACAATTTCCTGGAAATGTATTCAAAGCAGACTTTGTTTAATGTTGTCCAAGAATTGTTATTCCCATTTTTACAAGCTAATTTTTGTGGGTGTTAGAACAATATCAGAATTTCAAGAAATAAACAAGCAAATTCCCTGGATAATTAGAGCAGATTCTTCATAAAATTTATGTGGAGATGTGTGTGTATTTTTCAGAAATATCTTTGGTCTATGATGTCAGATGATAACATTTTATTTAGCAAAAGCTAAGGCTTTTAAAGGACAGCACAGAAAAGGTCTTTATATTTTAATTTCTTAATTAAGAAATACTTGGAAAATATTTTAATATATGTGCCTGTGTATATATCATTACGTGTTTATGAAATGTTTTCTCTGTATGTATTTAGGTGCATTCATATGTAATATATTAGAGAATAATTGAGATCTGAGCTCTTTTTAACTAAAGTCTCACTCACTGCTACTGAGGTCAATGTCAAATACCCAGTAATATCCCTGCCCTTCAGAGGAGACAGATCCTGGCTTAGCTGAGGTGCATCCTGTGGAAAAGGAAGGAGTCTGAATTATTCACATGTCTATGTCTTGAGTTCCCTTGCTGAACTTCTAGGATGTACTTCAATGAACAGGGAAGTTGGAACTGGAACGTGAATGTTTTCCACTCTCTCAGCAATTTTTAAGAGGTACCAAGATAAAGCACATTTGAATAGCATGATTCCTGCTTTTGTTTTCAGTCCTTCCCTGGACACCTGTGCTACAGATCAAAGAACCAAGAGAAACACACCTTTAACTGTTTGCAAGATGCATGCCTTGGAGTGCATGGGCAGAAAATATTCTCTTACTAATGCAGAAAACTGCAGAAGACCTCATGCAGCTGAAATACCATGTGGATCATGTCGTTCATGGGAAAAATGTGATGGTAAGAGATTCTTCACAATTGTAAATAAAACCAAAATGAAATCTTGATCCCCAGTTATGCATTAGCTGTAGGTCTGTCCTGGTATAGTATCTCCAGACCATCTCAGAAGAACAAGGCACTGCTAAGCTGGTTCAAACCATCAGCCTGGTGTTTGGTGTCCAAACATGGCAGGAAGGTCTAGGAATGCCATTTACTTTTGTTTGTACTTCACTGCCTATCCCCAGTTTCTCGTATTATGATCAAAGGTGAATGTCTCTTCCCTCAGAGGAAATAGTCCCAGTCTTTTGCAATCTGTCTGTAGTGGAAGTTTTCAGATTCCCTGATCTAATTTCTCTGAGTGTCCTGCACTACATTGCATTTAATGGAAGGTTGCCAGAAATGGGAAGATAAAGAAGAAAATTAGGTTTTTAGAAGTGCCCCAGATAGAGGCACAGTTATTGTCATGTTTTGAAAATAAAAAAGATTACTTGATATGAGTTCATCTGTTTCTTCTAGCAGGGTTGAACAGACAAAAATAATAACAAAAAAAAAAAAATAAAAAAAATAAAAAAAATCAAAATTGGCCAGAACTTCAGCAAAGACAAACACAGACAAAAAAACCCAAAAAACCCACAACACCAAAACAAAGACACAGTTATGAAAAATGAATCTCAGATGGGACCTTGTTCTTATCTGATTATTTATCTGTTGTCACTGATACAAAAATGCACATTTATTTGTAGGCGTAGATCCTTTGATCTTAGTGACACTGCCCATATGTAAATAAAGATATCAGTTTTAAGTGTCTGAATTATTAGTTTGTTACTGTCCAAGGACAGATCTCTCATCTTACATGTTCTCTGGACTCAGACCAGTAGATACATGAACCAGTTCAAGCAATAACATCAGAAAACTCTTTGAGAGCAATAATTCAGGCACCTTGAGCAAGCTTTTCATACAAGCACAGTCTCTCTGAGCAGAGGAAGCCCCAGCTGTGCACCACTCATTTCCACTTCTAGTTTTTCCACTGAACCTGAGTATCATCTAATGTGACTTCTAGATAGGAAAAGAATCATAGAATCATAAAACGTTTTAGGTTGGAAGGGACCTTTAAAGGACATCTAGCCCAATCCCCTGCAATCGGATGGAACGTCTTCAACCACATCAGGTTGCTCAGAGCCCCGTCCAACTTGGCCCTGAATGTTTCCAGTGATGGGGCATCTAACACCTCTCTGGGTAACCTGCTCCAGTGTTTTGATCACCTTTATTGTAAAAAATTTCTTCCTTATATCTAGTTTGAACTTACCCTCTTCTAGTTTAAAATCATTACCCCTTGTCCTAACACTACAGGATCTATTAAAAAGTCTGTCCCCACCTTTTTTATATGCTCCCTCTAAGTATTGGAAGGCCACTATATGGTCTCCCAGAGCCTTCTCCAGGCTGAATGACTCCAACACTCTCAGCCTGTCCCCATGAGGAAAAGTGTACCACCCCTCTGATCATTTTTGTGTCTCTCCTCTAGACCCCCTCCAACAGGTCCATATCTTCCTTGCACTGGGTACCCTCCAGAAAATTGCTGGCAGTCCTACAGTTTTGCTGGAAACATTTTAGTCTGTTTTTTGTTGAGTCAGATGCCATCCTGAGTGTTTTTCCTCTGTGCTTTTGTTTAGTGCAATCAAACAACTGTGTTTGTGATGAAGACGGGCCGTGTGAGCAGGGAGGCATCCAGATCTGTGCTGAAGTGAGCGGCTCTGGTGCCCGTTGGACCATGACCGAGTGTGAGGCTGGGCGGCTCAGATGCCAGGGGGAGACTGTCACTGTTGTCAGCATAAAGCCCTGTGACGTAGAGAACAAATAAGATATGTTATGGTTCATTTTGCTTATTGCCACGGGATATGTCAAAATGTGTCAACTCTTGGGCAGGACATACTTTGAACCTTGCTGTACCAAATGTAAGTTCTGTTGTGAAGTCCACTTCATTGGCTCTGACCAGTGCTGAATCTGGGTTTGAGGCTCCTCAATAGTCAGAGTTGCACAAGCCACTACCGCTCATGACAAGGCTCTTGCTTAGATCCTGGACGTAGCACTGGCAAGTTTACTTCACATTTTCATCAGAATATTGCTGAAGTGCAGTTGCTAAAGTAGCATTTATAGTGATGGAATACAGTGTCTGACACTGTAAACACATTTTTCTTAAAGCCACACAAACATATACATTCACTGAGTAAATTTAGATTGAAAATAAAAAGAATAATATTCACAGAGTAAGATATATCATTCTTCTCTTTTAATAAGGTAGCTTGCTCTTACTGTCCCTTGCTCAGCTGAGCAAGCAGTATGCACAGCATTGAACCTGTCATTGAGCCTGAAGTTCTTAAAGGTCAAAACAATGTTCATTAATAGTAATAAGAAGACTTCTATGCTTGCAGCTTCTTGCACACAGATGCACTTCATGAAAAATCACCATTTGACATTGTCATAACTATCATCATGAGATACATTTGTAAACACAGGTAACTCAGTTGTATGTCACATGTATTTATGTTTGTGCCACAATCAGTTTGCTTACAGACCACTGCACACAGAGGCAGCACAGCAAAACTTTCTCAGAGGCAGCTATTAGGGAAGGTGTGTCTTCACAGAAATGGAGTCACTCCACATGCAGTCCCCCTGGAGACAGCTTTGGACAATCTCCTAAGACTGTTTCTGAATAAAATAAGTCTCTTACACTTTCCTTACACAGCTAAGCATGCTGTCTAGTGTAGCCAGACAGTGACATCTTTGCTCACATGTGGTGTACCTTTCAAGTCCATTCAGGTACCTACCTGTCCTGGCAGTCCAATCTCTTCTGCCTATTCTGAGATACAAACAAGGACAAAGGGGTGGATAGCAAGTGGGTGATGTAGCAAGTACAATACTATTGGCATGAAGCCTGTATGCTTTTTAAGAGACAGATTTTATTTCTTACTCTCAATAAATACCTACCAGATGAAACACCTCTCTCAGTTGTCATGTTTGAACCTGAAATTTCCTTACATAAACCTTACCCTCAGCTGGAAAAGCTTTGCTTTCCATGGTGTTGGCAATGAGGATTAAGCCAGAACAAAAGAGGTATGCTTTCCCTTGGTCACTCCCTCTCCTGGGGGCAGCTGTGTTGGAAGGGAAGGTTGCCACCGCACTAACTGAAAGGACATCCTGACCTTTATGCTGTCTGGAACTTAATGGCACATTTTTGGGTTTTGAGCAAATCACAAATACTTGTGAATAACTTACAGCTGAAAACAAGTAGACTAAAAGCCAAATTAATTTTATCAGTTTTTTGCTCTGTATTATTTGCTAAGGAGTGGCATGTTTGGAGAGCAGCCTGATGTTTGCTCTTTGGTTACTCCCAACTCTCCTGTCCACAATTTTTGGCTTTTTTTCTTGGGGCAACTGGCACAACATGTGATCAGACCATATGAGCCCACTGGGTAGCAATAATTTCCAAAGCTGCTGGAGGCAAGAGAAAATTACCTGGAAATTTCCTGATAAATAGCACAGAAATAATAGTGGCTTGGTGATTCATGGCTTCAAAGACTGGGAAATTTAGAAAACCAGCACAGGGCCTCAAGAAATGTTGAGAATTCCTGCTTAAGAAACAGTTCAAAAAACCAGTAAAGTTGCCTGAAAATCATCTCGATATATCAGCAGGAACAGATCTCCACATCCATAAAATAAATTAGTCTGAGATAAGACAGACAAAATATTAATGAATGCTGCATTTCAAATGTTTCATCCAGTCCCTGACATCTCACTGTTTATCTGACCCATCTAAATCTTCACAGGGATCCTTTTTCTTTCCTTTTTCTTTCTAATTATCCACTCTATCTTTTTCCCTCCTACTTGTTAGCCCAGTTATCTCCTTTCCAGTAGACACATCATAGACCCTTTCCCTCCTAGTTGCCTAAGACAGCTGTGGGTGTCCAGTCTGCTCCCCTTTGTGCTGCGACACTGCAATCCTTTCCTGTCTGACTTCTGCCACATACTCTTTTCAGTCTTGCATTTGTCTAGGTCAGAAAGCACTTCAGTTCCATCATCCCTTCTGAAAATCTGAGGACATCTTACAGCATTTTAGAACAGACATGGGTTTTTTATTAAAAAAAAACCAAAACCAGCAACACCACCAAACAACCAGCTGACTGTCTAATGATGCTTGGGAGGGAGGAAGAAGTAAGGAAAGCAATATGGCTACTTAATGAAGGAAAACCAGGTCATGTAGGACCAGTGGCTGGCACGACAATCTGTCCAATCATTCTTTCATCGCTATTGGTGGGCACATCTGCTGGCCACACTTTGGACCTTTCAGTACAGAAGCATCCCCAGTCACTGTGGTCCACCTCTTCATCATACTGTTATAAAACTAACAAGGAACTGCAGGACATTTTTTCTTGGTGAGAAAGAAAAGCCAGATGGATTGGTGTCAGATGAGAAGAACAATGAAGAGATCATGGTTCCATGAAGTCAGTCAGCTTAACAAAATTACCCGGTAGAGAGTGATAAACTCCTTTGTTTTACCTGACCTAAATGACCACATGCTTCTTTAGGGTGAGCATTTGCCCCATCACCGTGTGTCAAGATACTTGGAAGGAATTTGATAGTAGATGACCCAAGCTTTGGAGAGCTGAACTGTGAAACACAGAAATAGAGAGCTGCAGAACACTTCAGTGGCAGACAACAGGCTTTTATGGGAACTGAGCTCTTTTAAGCTACTGAAAGCATTGCTCTGTCTTTCTTTCACATTTCTCAGTCTATGATGCCAGATCCAATGAGACCTGCAATGCATACATGTCCTAAGAGGGAGCATCTTAATGTTGATGTTCATTCAGTATCATAAATATCCGTCCCATTATCAGTGAGACAAGTTCCTTCCAGAGATTTGTAGAGAGATCAACAGTTTCATATATTGTGTGAAAAGAGTAGAAAGAATGAAGGATAAAACTCCCAGCAAACTGGTAAATTTTTGTAAATGACATGCAACTAAAAAAAGATTATTACTCTGTAAGAAGCTGCAAGAGGCAGAAACTGACTAGGAAATTGACCAATGCTGTGGTAAAATAAATTTAACTCAGATCAAGGTAAAATAAAACTGTTATCCATAGTGATGACCCAGACTCGTGGGATGATCTGAGGCCAGTGACTTGGAAGATATCGTCACAAACTGTTCAGTAAAAAGGCTTACCTGACACAGAGCAGCAGGTACAAGGTCAGAGTGGAGGGACCTTTATAAAACAGTAACGCTGAAAAAATTTATCCTAGTTAACACTATTTGATAAACAGTACCAGCATGTGAAATGAATTCAGCCTTGCTTGCTTCCTTGCAAAAAAGTGGCTCCCTGAGCAGCAGCACTGTCAAGAGCTGGTTTTCTAGGATTTTTTTTTTAATAGATTCTCTGATTAATAAGAACAAGTCTACACTGCATCCTTTTGCTTGAGGAAGACACAGGAGAGATCATACAGCTGCCTATCTTGATGAAAGATATTAAAGAATCAATGGATATCTAACCTTCAGCTATGTGTTGTTAAAAGGTAGACAATGGGTTGAAATACTATTGAAGGGACAACACAGGTAGATAGACTCCTGCTCAAATGGCCTTGTGACAGGCATTTCTGAAAAATGGCAAGCTGGAAAAGGAGGAAGGAGGTGCCCCAAAAGCAAAGGTGGGAAGGATACAGTAGGACTGGTACGGAGCTGTGGTGACCCCAGGTTAATCATAAGACATGGAATATTTCCAAGCAGAACAGAGAACTAGCTAGCAGAAAATTAGGAAAGAATAAAGATTTTCTCACGTACCTTTTCCTAATCTGGAAGCAGCAAATTAAGACCTGAAGAGTGACAAGACACTTTGTCTTCCTGTACATTGACATGGGAGAAGCTTCCCAAATTCCTCCCAGATGGGAGCCTGCATGTATGGAAAAGATTTGGGACCAATGTATACCTGGAGACTAACTGAAGGAGAGCAAGTAATGTCTACCAACCTGCTGTTGTTAGACTGATAATGGTAACACTAATCTTGTGAGCTGACATTTGCAAATCTCTTTTTCACTGGAGTCTCTATATCCCTGGTGTGCTTCTCATGGCCCCCTGGCACCCATGAGTATCCTCCACCTTTCAGAGTGAGAGACACATGGAGTGAGAGGCTGTGGTTCCCGAAGCACTCCCAAATCTTCAGCCCTGAGCAGGAACCTCCCTGATGACAGCAGATCAGCAGTTTAGTGCCCTGCCTAAAGCAAAACATTACTAACTAAAATAAAAAACTTTTTGAAGAAAAACATAACTTGAAAACATTAAAAAGCCACTATAAATAACCTTTACAAGGTACATTATTCCTCATCAGTGAGAAGTCCCCTTTCTCTCCTGTTCTGTTAATGTCTTCTTTAGACAGCTTTGGTCAGGAGCACTTCCACTCATGGGGCTTAACTTGTGGTTTTCCCTTGCTGCCAGTTCATAACCTGATGAAATACGCTTGTAATTTCTTTGGGGACAGATCTTTATACCTGATGATTTTGCCAATTGATTTCAACCTGGGAGCTGGGAGCTGTTGCATGGCTTATTTGTTCATTCTCTCTCCAGCCCCAATAGAAACTTAATCAGTAACCACCTGCCCTGGTCTTGTCACCACCTAAAGCCATTGCATCACCATATTCATAACGTTATTACAGATCAGTTCCATTTCCAACACACTGTAGCTCTGCCTCATTGCTCACTGTGATGACCTGCCACTGTAAGTAACAGCAGAGCCATTACTGAATATGACAGGAGGCACAGGAATATAAACTGCTATTGATTTCTTTCTCTCCCCACTGCAAAACACAGAAGAGTTGTCTCTGACCAGCAGAAGGATGGTGCTGGCACCCTGGATCTTCTGGCCAAATTCAGGAGACGTGTTAATTGCTCAGGGCTCAGCCTCCAGGTCCTGCTCTCCTGCATGTCTTCCTCAGGCAGCTGTTTTCATTTCATGGTCATGGGGGCAGTGGGTGGAATCCTGCCCCACAGACAGCAAGAGAAAATTATCAACTCACTTTAACACTTCTCTAAATGGATTTTTATTATATTAAAGCCTCTAAGAACGGTATCAAATGTGAATATACAAACTAAAATTTATCAAGAAGGGAGCAGTGACAAACAACTGCAAATAGTGCTTTTGAGCAGAGCGATAGTTTAACCAGACTAGAACACTAGCTTCTGGTAAAGCAAAGTCGTGGTTTTATTTTTTACTGTTGACAGCAATTACACTGAGGCTTTTACAGTGATTGTAGTATTCTCTTCCTGATTACACAATGTATGATGATAACTGAACTTACTCGTACTACACAGCTTAGATTGATCTAAGGCAACCAACAAACACAAGCAATGTTCTTATATTTTGAGAACTGTTACTCAGGTGGTCCAATCTTATGATGAGGAGAGCTATATAAGTACTGCCACATGCATAAGGCAGGTTATAGCATTCTATTCGTGCAATTAGTCCAGGCACATGTAGCATCAAAGGCTTCTGCAAATCCTCTCCAAATAGAAAAAGACACCAAGGCTGACATTCTCAAGTGAGAATTTATTTGGATCATCTCCCAGGACATGTACATGCTGATATCTCCCTAAAAACAGGATTGCCATCTTTGTTTCAGTACATACCTTTGCTCCCAGCACACAAATACTGTCTTTCTGTGGAAAGCTCCCACCAAGATGCAATCACACTGCTTCTAATCCTTAGAACACTGGCTGAAGCAAGTGGAAGCAGTATTGTGACTCTCAGTGGGAAAATTCAGGGACATTATCTACAGAATATTTGGAGGTTCTTTTTTTCTCTCTACATTATTTCCTCTACCAGTTTTTATGAAAGCTCCTTCATAAAACGCTTTTCCAAGGAAGCCAAATACCCCTAAGTCCCAAATATGACCTTAGGCTATGCATATCTACTCTCCCTGGTCTTTAAGCTGTCTAGACACTAGATACCCTG